ACATTGTCTCAGGTTCTTTTCTTTGTTGAGAGTTCCTCCTCCTAGTCATTCTGTAGAGGGATGGTTGAGTGAATGAACAGAGTCCAAAATATCAACCACCACCCAAGCAAAATGCACCCTAAAAAAAATCCAAAGTGTTTGGAAGCTACCACAGATATGCAAACAAAGCCAAGATGATCCAAAACAATAAAAAAAGGTGGGGGAGAGCTTATAACCTCTCAGGGTGGACAAAGCAGGGTTATCTGCCTGTTCCTGATTGATTTTTGGTCTGTGTGTTTGAAGACACTATATCCCAAAATTGCAAAGAAATCAGAACTTATATATTTATCAAGATAAAATTGAATAGAGTGAAAAATGGACTAGTATGGGGAATAGTCTATAAAATGTAGAAGTGAACAAATAAAAGTTAAAAAGCAGCTTAAACCATAACTTGGGAAATAAGAATCTATTTGAAACACGAACAGGGTAAAACAAAAACAAACAAAAAAAAAGAAAGAAAAAGAAAAGAAACAAAAAAGAAATGTAAAATTTTAGCCTGAAGTATAAATGAATCATGAGAGAACACCTGGAGCTCCCTATATTATTTTCCCCCTGGCACTGGAGTTTTACAGTCCTGTGGCAAATAAACTTATCATTCACCTGTTCTTCCAGTCTGTCTTCTGGGGGAGGGACCTGCTGCTCGGCTTCTCAGGTGTCTTTGCCTGGGTGGAATGCCCCACCCCTTGTCAGGGGGATGGGCTTAATGTGAGCTGGTCATTTGTATGGCTTTTGTTCCCTGGTGGCTTTCGGCTTCTCTTTAGAGGGTCAGAGTAAATATGGCCATTCAGGAATCTCTGGCCCAGAGCCACAAGTTCGCTGTCCCCTTTCTTCAATAAACCTTCCAGGTCAAACCATCTCCACTTCTGTGTGTACCAAACTCCACAGACTCGTGCTATTCCCACCCTCTGCAACTCTCCCAGGGGAGTTCTGGGGACCTGAGAGCATCTGTGCCCTTTGTGACTTTGCAATTGCTAGTGGCTGTGGGCTTGTGCATGCACCCTCTTCCACGGCTCCCAGTTCATGGCTGGGTGCCTCCCCAGTGTTCCTTCATGGGCCACACCGCCCTGAGAGCTGTTGCCCAGTCATGGGCGCAAGCCGTTTTCTATCTCCCCTGAGACGTTAAACAGCTTGCACCTTCTAGTCCTTTTCAGGGTGGCCAGGCAGAGAGTGGTCTCCCTACAAGCCAGCTGGCAGTTTATGGTGACTGGATCTGAGAGTCCCTTCTGGGCTCACTGACCATAACCAGTCTCCTCGCTCCACTGCTTGGGCACTCTATTGGTCAGGATTCCCCATAATTTCTGAATCTCCTGGAATTCTGAGACCACAATGATCGACCTAAAATTCTGCCCTATTCATCCCTTGTGCCCTTTTCAGAAAGGGAAATCTCTCACTGGAGCAGATTTCTAAGGGTCCCCATTTTTTGCTCCAGTGTTATAGCACTTTCCAGGGGCTAGCTTATGGTGGGGCCATTCCCCCTCTGTTTATCTCCTGATATTTCCCCGGAAGATTCAGGGTTCTACACCAACTACCTTGCAAAAAGTTGTTATTTTTCTGCTTGTAGAGATCCAGATAAATCTTACATCTCAGGTTGAATTCATGTGTGTTCAGAATGGTTTGATAAATATGCATCTAACTTTGAGAGACTAGATGGAACAAGGTCCCCTACTCTGTTGCCATCTTGCCCCACCCCCCGCAATATCTCTTTTAATTCTTAATCCTGTGAGGCAGGTATTGCCACAAACACAGGTGAGACGATTGAGGCTCAGAGAGGGTAAGAAGGGTGGCCAAGGTCACACAGCAACCTACTCAGAGGAAAACCTACATTAGAGCTGAAGTCACTCTGTTTTTGGCATAGTAAGTCAAATATTCCACTGTCCCTCCATAAAGTGCACCTCACTATAAGAGGCTTCTGTATCCTCTTTCTGGTGAACTCAGGTATGGCCAAGGAACTTGCTCCACTCAATGGAAGAGAGCTAATTAAGGTCACTTTGCCAGGATCTCCCTTCCCTCGGCCATGAGAATACCAGTGTTCTAAATAAGGGCTGCTCTTATTCAACCTATATCCCAGAGTGAAGACAATGTAGATCAAGCCATGGCTATGTAGCATGAGCAAGAAATAAACCTTTGTTGTTATAAACCACTGAAATTAGAGGGTGGTGGCTATAAGTTACTGAATCATAATCTCCCTAATGCTGACTGATACATGCTCTGCTATGGACTGAATTATGTCTCCTCAAAATTCACATGTCAAAGCCCTAACTTCCCAGTATGACTGTATTTGAAGACATGATGACCTTTATAGAAGCAGTTAAGATTAAGTGAGGCCATAAGGGTGGAGCCCTGACCCAATAGGATTAGTGTCCTGATAAGAAGAGGCATAAAAGCTCTCTCTCCTTCTCTCCCCCATGTAAGGGTAGAGCAAGGTGGCCATCTGCAAAAAAGAACAGAGATCTCACCAGAACCCAACTGCACAGGAACCCTGAACTCAGATTTCCAGCCTCTAGAATTATACGAGAAATTTCTGCTGCCCAAGCCACACAGTCTATGGTATTTTGATATGTCATCCCCAGCTGACAAAGGCGTACTCTTAAGAGATAGTTTGGAATGTGGAGGTTAGTCAGATGCTAGTGAAACCCAGAGCACACAGCATACCAAATCATCACCTAAAACCTCCTTCCAGAATAAGGAAACCCCAAATACAAATATGAAATGTCAGAGAAAGGTGAGAATGGGAACAGCCATTCAATAAGACTTTGAGAGTTGGCTGTTTAGAAACAAAATAATTAGCCTTACCTGGCGATTAAGGAGACAGTGTACCACAAAGAGCAAAACACCCTGCAGGATATTGATGATGGTGAATGTGTACGCAATGACTGATCTGATCACCTTCCCGACCTCTTCAATCATAAAAAGGCCAAGGCCCCAAGAACAGCCCAGGATAAATAGCTGAACAATGGCTTTAAATGTCATGACTCTGAAAAGGAACAGGAGCAATAATAAGTATCATTCATCACTATGTGTTGGGTGCTGTGCTATATGCTTTGCACATATTACCTGATTTAAACTTCACATCAACCCCATGTGCTTAAGCGACCTATTCAAAGTCATACAACTCGAAGATGAGGCAGAACCCATGTTTTCCATGGCTGCTTCTGAGAATAATGCTTTTTCCTATTCTTGGAAGTGATTTATCTGCAAGTCTTTTACCTGGATCTACTGGGAGATGTGTGGAAGTGCCTTCTAGAAATCTGTATTGGAAAATGTGTTAATGTTGATATCATGACTTCAGAATAGAACATGCTGTTGTGTTTCTTCAAAGGAAAGTTGTGTTTTATAAAACAGAATGGGGTTCTTAGCGGCAACTGTCTAGGAGAGATGACATGTGTGAGTGTGTGTTTGTGCATGCACACAGGGGTGTGAGCCTGCACTCATCAAACACGTGTAGAGGGATGAAGAAATGCCAGGAAGGGTGAAGCTGTGACCCTCCAAGCTGAAAACACTAAGGTGAAGAGATGTTAGGTTGGTCTGATAAGTAGATGAGATCAAAGCCAGGGTCTGAAATTGGAAAGATATTCCTTTAAGTTTTGTCCACATGACTCACCAATGCCAATTTTTGCCCACCCTTGGGTAAAATAAGCACTTGCTCCTCTTATCAATGGGGGAATGGTAGTCGTGCCCACCACATAGATTAAAATTATGAGCATTCAGTAAAAGAATATTGGTAAATTCCAAACATCTACTAAGTTCCTAGTTGATGTTAGTTGTTCTTATCGTTATTTTTAATCATTTAGATCAGCACAGTAAGAACTGAGTGTCTACAACCAAGGATAATGGAGGGCAGAAATGGGTGGACTCACGGGGTGGTGGAGGAAGGATAATGTTGATACTCTTGGCATGAATTTCAGATGAAGAGTTTTCTACACAGAGGAGGCACCCAATGAATATTTGTTGAATAAAGAGATCAAGGAGTACATTAAGCTACCTGAAATTTATAGTTTTTACTTCTAGAAGTTGTACCGCACACACCCTTTATCCAGTACCATGAAATTTTATATCAGATTTTTGTATAGGTTTTTCTTTCCCAGGGAGAAAGAAAAGTAGCCCTGTAGGAAAAATATGTGGATACCACTGATTCTGGGACCTTCTTACCTGGTGTCCTGAATGGTAGAAACGTCTTTATTGAGGGAGGAAAGTTTGCTTCTCAAAATCCACAGAATTTGGAAGTACAACACCAAGTTTATCTGTGGACACAGAATGAAATATTGACTTGGAATTTTATTTTGAGGCCGTGTCGTGCAACCCAATTTGAGGTGGACCTAAGTATCTTTTTTACAAAAGATACAGGCTTCATAGGATGTTTTGCTCTGGTCTTTTATACAGCATATTGTGTGTATATGGACCTGGGGCACTTGATACTTGATTAGGGTGACTACATAATGTATCATTCAAATCAAGATGCCTTGAAAGTGAAAGATTACTATTAATGTCTATACCAGGACAATGGATGTGATCAGGAAGTTGTTGGCAAACAGGAGAACATGTCACTCTGTGCAGAGTAGATACTTGCTAAATGCTTGTTGAATGAACAAACATAGGTTTTTACCAGAATCCCCTGCAGAGAGTTATATTCTATCACAGTAACAAGTAACCCATAAGGGAGCAAAGGAAAGACATATGAAGATAGTGTTTCTAGGAAGAGGAGTTAATCACATCAGGCTATATTTTCTTATCTTCACTTCATTTCCATTTTCACAGCAAGAAACACACTCCATGCTTGGCCAACCAGGGCAGACACATCCATAAATAACTATCATTAGTCACTCACCAAGATAATGACTGCCACTGGCCCCATGAAACTCCAGATGAACCCTTTATCGAGCTTGAGCCAGCAGCTGTTGAGAGAAGGGTATGCATGAGCTGCGTATTTCTCAGAGGGTAGAGAGCTTGAATTCAGACTCCTGTAGCAAGATCCAACCAGTGCTGGGAACCATTTTGCTCAGAACCTAGATTTTAGATGCAATCAGACATGGGTCGTCATCTGACACAAGCTGTATGCTCTAAGCCTCAGTTTCCTCAAGTGTAAAGTGGGGGCAAACAGAAGTATTGAAAAGATTAAATGATTACAGTGGCTATATGCCAAGTCTTGAAACCAGCTAGGGTCTCTCCTCTGACTTTGTTCTTCTCTTTCAATATTGTGTTAGCTATTCAGGATCTTCTGCTTCTCTATATAAACATTAGAATCAGTTTATCATTACACACAAAATAATGTTTTTGGGATTGAGATTGAGAATGCATTGAATCTATAGATCAGTTTGGGAGGAACTGACTGACTTCTTGACAATACTGAATCTTCCTATCCATGAACATGGACTATCTCTCCATTTATTTGAATCTTCTTTGATTTCTTTCATCAGACTTTTGCAGTTTTCCTCATATAGATCTTGTAGGAAAGATCAAATGAGGTAATGTGTACATAGTTTTTGAGTATGGTTCTTGGCAAAGAGGTAAGCCTCAATAAATAGTGCCCAAAAATATGATTTCTATCAGAAAGAGAGTAAAATTAGTAATTTAACTACAGCAAGAAAACCTACCAACACTAAGTATTTTCCATATACCAAGTACTCTGTTGCCCAAATACTTTTTATTAAATCATGCCTTATGTTGGCAAAGATAGTATAAATTATCCTGAACAAAGACCGGGCAGTGTAAAACTCAGAAATGTAACAAGCAATTGCCAACAGTCAGTGAGCAGAAAAACTCTGACACTTAAGTTTTATTCCAAGTGTTACAAACGATCACCCATAGTCCAAATCCAGTCCACCCCTTGTTTTTGTAAATAAAGCTTTATTGAAACATAGCCACATCCATTCATTTATACATGGTCTATGAATTGGCTGTTCTCCCACCACAAGGGCAACATTGAGTAATTGCCACAAAGACCATATGGTCCGCAGAGACAAAAATAGTTATCATTGGCCCTTTATAGAATATTTGCCAACCCCTGATCTACGCCACTGTGAGATCTCCAGAACTGTTCTGGCAGGACATAGGGTTCAGGCTGGAGACAGGACATCTTTTTTCTTCAAGAGAGACACCTTCTTCATGTTGTTTTAGCACATGCATTCCTACTCCCTAACCGAAGCCCCATTGCCAAAATACTAACGTCCTCAACTAAACTTGCAGAGCTTTGTAAACTTCTCAGTGAGGGAGAAATTCCTTTAGTGAGGAATTCTGATTAATTCTCTTTTTAGCTGAGACCTTAAGAATGTTTCTTAGATGCACTAAGACCCAGAAGTCCCATGTATGAGGTGATGAACAGTGCTGGCCCCACAGGATCATGGGGAGAATGAGTCATGATATGCACTATCTCATGCATCACAGGCCTTCAAGTTTTGTTGCTATTGTTGTTACTCTTTACATTTTGGGATGAATCTCAAGCTCTTCAGTATGCTATTTCAGAATCCTCTAGAACACAGAGGCCACAGGTGGGCTTTTCTGTTCCTGAATTTCCTGAGTGTACCTTTTTGTCCCTAATGTCCTGAAGTTGTATTCAAAATTTTATGTGTAAGTACATTTGTCTGAAAGGTATATTTCCTTGTTTGGGGAAATAGGCCCTGGATTTCACCAAAAGTCTCAAAAGGATCCAACTCCAAAGATGCTGAGAATCATTCCTCTAGGAATTTCTAAGAGAAAATAGAATTATGGCTTAAAACCGGACTGGTTTTGGGAGGTATAATTCACAACAGGAAATGGACTGAAATGTTTTTTGATTTCAGATCATGTATCAGCCACAGACGCCACTTCCACCATAAAGGCACACATCATGCTTACTGAGTATGTGATCCATAATTTTGGGGTCCTACTATTGCAGACACAGCCACAATGAGAACTGGAATCCCATAGCCGAAAGGGTACATGAACTTCTTCTTGAATTTGCCTGCACTGGTGTAGTTGGCCACCTTGAGATTCCTAATGGTGAGGAAGAGGTGCAGCCCTTCAAGGAACATCCAGGTGAAGGAGGCCAGGTAGAGGTAGTGCAGCACCCCTGCGATGATGGAGCACAGCACCTGGAGGGGAGACAAGAGTTAGGAATGTGGTCTGTGACTGATCATGTCCTCAGCACTTAGCATTTCTTGAATGTTGGCCTACATTTTCAATTCTAACACCTGTGACATTTTGCCTGGAGGCAACACATTTTTGGGGAGCTCTCAGTGTCCCTTGCTTACTCCACATATGGAGCGGGCTAGAAATACCAAGGAATGAATGCCATGGGCACCGTCCTCAGATCCATGACAGACGAGAGTTGGTAGATGAATATTCCATGGCCCTTTCCCTTTGGGTGGGTGTGATGCTTAATTTTATGTGTCAACTTGACTGAGCTAAGGAATGCCCAGATAACATATAAAACAGCATTTCTGGGTGCGTCTGTGAGGGTGTTTCAGGAATTATGAATTAGCATTTGAGTCAGGAGACTGAGTAAAGAAGATCACCCTCACCAGTGTTGGTGGGTATCATGCAATCCAACTGAGGGCTAAATAAAACTTTTATGGAGGAAGGGAAAATTAGCTGTCTCTGCTTGACCTGGGATATCTCCAGCTTGATGTCTACAGATCTTATAATCTACCTGGTAGTTAGGAGACATTCATGGGGCTATTTATATAAAAATTCATTAAAATGAAACAAAATTTAAAAGTCAGTTCCTCAGTCACAGTAGGCATATGGCAAGTGCTCAATAGCCACATGTGCCAGGGGCTACCATATTAAAGTGTTCAGATATAGAACATTTTCACCCTCAAAAGGAAGGTCAGCTGGAAAGTGCTGGTTTAGAATTGTGTGCCCTGCATTAAGTGAAGGACACTCAGGTTCTTTTCTATAACCTCACAAAACCTGGGAGAAGGAAAAGATGGCGGAGGAGTAGGGGACCCTATTCCAACTGGTCTCCTGAATTGAGCTGGATATCTACCAGACCATTCTGAAATCAGCCTGAGATGTAAGAAGATATATCTGGATTTCTACAAACAGAACATCGCAGGCAGTTGGTTTCGAGGTATGAAGCGGGGAGCCGTGATTTCGTAGGCAAATATCGGAAGATAAATGGAAGGGAGAGGGAGCCATGGGGATCCTGCACCGCTGGTGAGGGAAAGCCTCCTGCGCTGGGGACAGGGCACAGACTCGCAATCACAGACAAGTAGTGGTGGAGAAAGGACTTTAGGGGAGCCCCCCAGACTGAAACCTGGGGTGGCAGAGCCGTGCATATGAACTAGGGGCAGCTGGCAGTTTTAGAAATTCAAAGGGCAGAGACGTGCCCTTGTGTCCTGACCTGGAGGTGAGGACTGGGAGCCCTGCTGAAGGGCACACAACCCAGGATGCTGCAGTTTATGGCAGCACAGACAGAAACAGAGATAGTGTGGCCTGGAGAGCTCACTGAAGAACAGACTGCGATCTCTCTGCTCTGACTATTGGAAGAGATGTAGAAAGCTGCCAGGGAAAGCCACCAGAGAACAAAAGCCCCATCCACCTCCCCACAGGGGGCAGGGCAACTCTGCCCAAACAGGGTTGCCTGAGTAACAGTGTAGCAGGCCCCTCCTCCAGAAGACAGGCTGGGAGAACAAGAGGCCAGCAACCCTAAAGTCCCTATAAAACAGGTGCATCTTGCTTGGGTTGTAGTAAAAAACTTAGACTCTCTACATTCCCTCAACCACCCTTCAACAGAATGACTAGAAGGAAGAACCCCCAAAATAGGAAAGACTCAGAGACTGTGACTTCTGCCACAGATTTACAAATAGATACAGATATAACCAAGATGTCGGAAATAGACTTCAGGGTAACAGTTATGAAGACAATAGCTAGAATGGAAAAATTGATTAATGGCAACATAGAGTCTCTAAGGGCAGAAATGAAAGCTGAACTTAAAAATGTTATCAATGAGATCCAATCCAATCTAGATAATCTAACAGCTAGGGTAAGTGAGGCAGAAGAATAAATTAGCGATCTAGATGACCAACTGATGGAAAAGAAGGAAAAAGAGGAGGCCAGGGAGAAACAACTCAAAATCCATGAAAACAGAATCAGAGAAATAAGTGACACCATGAAATGTTCCAATGTCAGAATTATTGGAATCCCTGAGGCGGTGGAGAGAGAGAGAGGACTAGAAGATATATTTGAGCAAATCATAGCTGAGAACTTCCCTAATCTGGGGAATGAAACAAACATTTGCATCCTAGAGTCAGAGAGGACCCCTCCCAAGATCAAGGAAAACAGGTCAATGCCCCAGCATGTAACAGTAACACTCGCAAAGCTTAGAACCAAAGAAACCATCTTAAGGGCAGTTAGGGGGAAGAGATTCCTTATGTACAGAGGGAGGAACATCAGAATAACGTCAGACCTATCCACAGAGACCTGGCAAGCCAGAAAGGCCTGGAAAGACCTATTCAGGGTACTAAATGAGAAGAACATGCAGCCCAGAATACTTTATCCTGCAAAGCTCTCATTTAGAATGGATGGAGAGATGCAGAGCTTCCAAGACTGGCAGAAACTGATAGAATATGTGACCACTAAGCCGGCCCTGAAAGAAATATTAAGGGGGGGTTCTATAAAAGGAGAAAGACCCCAAGAGTGATACAGAAAAGAAATTTACAGAGACAATCGATAGAAACGAGGACTTCACAGGCAACATGATGACAATAAATTCCTATCTTTCAATAATCACTCAACGTGAATGGCCTAAATGCTCCCATAAAATGGCACAGAGTTGCAGATTGGATAAAAAGACAGGACCCATCCATATGCTGTCTATGAGAGACTCATTTTGAACTGAAGATACATCCAGACTGAAAGTGAAAGGATGGAGATCCATCTTCCATGCCAAAGGACCTCAAAAGAAAGCTGGAGAAGCAATTCTTATATCAGACAAATTAGATTTTAAACTAAAGACTGTAGTTAGAGACACAGAAGGACACTATATTATTCTTAAAAGGTCTATCCAACAAGAAGATCTAACAATTGTAAATATCTACATCCCCAACATGGGAGCAGCCATCTACATAAACCAACTGTTAACCAAAATAAAGACGCATATTGACAATAATACGTTAATTGTAGGAGACCTCAATACTTCACTCTCAGCAATAAACAGATCATCTAAGCAGAGCATCAACAAAGAAACAAGAGCTTTGAATGACACACTGGAACAGATGGACCTCAAAGATATATACAGAACATTCCACCCTAAAACAAGAGAATACTAATTTTTCCCGAGTGCACATAGAACTTTCTCTAGAATAGGCCACATACTGGGTCACAAATCAGGTCTCAACTGATATCCAAAGATTGAGATTATTCCCTGCATATTCTCAGACCATAATGCTTTAAAACTGGAACTCAATCACAAGAAAAAATTTGGAAGAAATCAAACACTTGGAAGCTAAAGACCACTCTGTTCAAGAATGTTTGGGTCAACCAGAAAATCAAAGAAGAACTTAAACAATTCATGGAAACCAGTGAGAATGCAAACACATTAGTCCAAAACCTATGAGATACTGCAAAGACAGTCCTAGGGGGAAATACATAGCCATCCAAGCCTCACTCAAAAAAATAGAAAAATCCCGAATTCACCAACTAACTTTACACCTTAAAGAACTAGAGAAAATGCAACAAATGATGTCTAAGCCAGGCATTAGAAGAGAAATAATTAAGATTAGAGCAGAGATCAATGAATTAGAAACCAGAAACACCATAGATTAGATCAATGAAACTAGAAGGTGGTTCTAGTTTCTAGAATTAATAAGATCGATAAACCACTGGCCAGACTTATTCAAAAGAAAAGAGAAAAGACCCAAATTAATAAAATTATGAATGAAGGGGGAGAGATCATGACTAACACCAAGGAAATAGAAACAATTATTAGAAATTATTAAAAACAACTATATGCCAATAAATTAAGGAATCTGGAAGAAATGGATGCCTTCCTGGAAACCTATAAACTGCCAAGACTGAAACAGGAAGAAATTGACAACCTGAATAGACCAATAAACAGTAACACGATTGAAGCAGTGATCAAAAACCTCCCAAAAAACAAGAGTACAGGGCCTGATGGATTCCCTGGGGAATTCTACCAAATATTGAAAGAAGAAATAATACCCCAATGTTCCTAGCAGCAATATCTGCAATAGCTAGCCAAATTGTGGAACGAGCTGAGATGCCTTTCAACAGATGAATGGATAAAGAAGATGTGGTCCATATATACAATGGAATACTACTCAGCCATCAGAAAGGATGAATACCCAACTTTTGCATCAACATGGATGGGACTGGAGGAGATGATGCTAAGTGAAATAAGTCAAGCAGAGAAAGTCAATTATCATATGGTTTCACTTATTTGTGGAACGTAGGGAATAGCATGGAGGACATTAGGAGAAGGAAGGGGAAAATGAAGGGGGAGAAATCAGAGGGAAAGATGAATCATGAGATACTACGGACTCTGAGAAACAAACTGAGGGTTTTAGAGGGGAGGGGGGTGGGGGGATGGGTTAGCCCGGTGATGGGTATTAAGGAGGGCACGTACTGCATGGAGAACTGTCTGTTATACAAAAACAATCAATCGTGGATCACTACATCAAAAACTAATGATATATTGTATGATGACTAACATACCATAATAAAATAAAATAAAAAAGAAATAATACCTATTCTCCTGAAGCTGTTTCAAAAAATAGAAACAGAAGGAAAGCTTCCAGACTCATTCTATGAGGCCAGCATTACCTTAATCCCCAAACTAGGCAAAGACCCCATCAAAAAGGAGAATTTCAGACTGATATTCCTGATGAATATGGATTCCAAAATTCTCAATGAAATCCTAGCTAATAAGATCTAACAATACATTAAAAGGATCATTCACCACGACCAAGTGGGATTTATCCCTGGGATGCAAGGGTGGTTCAACATTCGCAAATCAATCAATGTGTTAGAACACATTAATAAGAGGAGAGAGAAGAACCATACGGTCCTCTCAATTGATGGAGAAAAAGCATTTGACAAACTACAGCATCCTTTCCTGATTAAAACTCTT